AGGAAAAATTTATGTACAATTTTTTAAAATGGGAAATAAATGGATAAAATGTATGAATCCGCGTGATCTATTATTATTACAATTTTTTTGTTTAAATTTAAAATTCTTATTTGAAAAAAAAAACATTTATTGAGCGATACTCACATCAGTCTCATCTCGCAAGTTCGAGTCAGACACGCCGCCGCCGCCCGCGAGTCAGTCTTCGATTAAACAGTTCGATGAACTTATATATTTATTTATTCCTGTTTTGGATATTTTCTACAAAAAAGTAGAAAAAGCATGTATTTGCTCAATATATGACAGTATCAATATTTGTTCATAAAAAAAGTTTTTTATTAAAATCAGTGTGAGTTATAAATATAAATAAAGTATAGAAACGCATATTAACACTGTCGCGTCCAGCGTGTGGTGTTTTGCTATGCGGGACGCGGGGGTGGGATCGAGTATGATATGATTTGACGAATGTGTGTGTGGTAGTAGTGGTTTGGAAAATGGAAACGCGATTGAAGGGAGGATTATATTTCTATAAGGGAAGTACGATCAGAAATTTGGCAAGTCTTGGGGGCCGAGCGGAAAACCCATTTGGACTGCCGTGCAGCGTTGTATCTTAATTTTTATTCAGGAATAGAAAATTACGTATTGAAATAGATCTGGCTCGAAATCGGTAAATAAAAAAAAACTCTAATAGACTCACTTTTGCTCATCATTTCGTACTAAGAATGAGGAGGCTGGACTGAATGATGAATACTCGTGAATACTAGTTGATTTTTATTTTGTGACGGTTCGCTTTTCGCGCTCGGATTATGCTCGCCGGAGCCAGGTGCGCAAGAAAGCGTGAGACACCAATTGGTTCAAAATACAATTTATTCAAAGGTTAACAAAAGATACTGTATCTACACTATGTACAAGTTAGAGTAGCGGAAAACATGAGTACCGGGCGATGGCGTGTCGGAGCCAGCGGGCATCGGCGAGAGCGGAGATCGCGTATCGGGCGCGGCTCGGCGCGGGGGTCGCAGGTTGGGCGCAGTCGAAGACGTTGCGGGGCCTTTTCGGTGGACATGCGGAATACGGCGCGGTTGACGGGTCCAGGCGCAGCTGGGCTAGCGGCAGGACGGGTTCCGGCCGACCAGGCGACCTGGTCCAGCGAGTGAACGGGCGACTCGTTCCACTGGGAGGCGTGCTTCGAAGCTGCGGGCGACCCGATCCAACGGAACTTGCTCAGAGGAATTGCTCGAGGTGGTCTTGCCGCTGGCTCGGGACAGGACTGGGATGCCACTTGTTCCGTGGCTACGGTTTATATACCCCCGCCGGCAGTCTTTGGCGGGGGAAAGCGCGGGGAGAGGGGGCCGCCCTCGGGTAGCACGCTCAAAGCACGTAGTAGAATTTGTGGCGCTAAGCGCCAGGGGCGGTTGGTCGGCCCGTGTTTTAGTGACGAGGAAGGGCGTATCGTCACAATTTTATTTATTATTCTCATGTTAAGGTGATATTGGGTATTGTCGAGTATTTTGACCCGAGTTTTGCTAGCGGGCGGGGGTTCGCGGCGCAGGAGTGCTTGCCGGGACATCGGAACCGGCCGAGTTCCCTTTCGCACGAACGGCCCGTCGATTGTCTCCTCACGCAGGGGCGTTAAGTTTACGACACGCGGTAAAGGTGGCGGAGATTTTCGAGGCGGAAGTGGGGGGCCAGGTGGTTGTTGCGCGGGCGGTGCAACCTTGAAAGGGTTCGAGGAGGAAGGCTGGGGCTGGAGTTGTTCTCCGGAACGTCAAATACCGACGGGTCGAACTCTTCGTTTTCGAGAAATGCCCGGTGTAGTTGATCCACCTGCCTCTTGTGACCTTCCCTCTTTGACCTCTTTTTCCTTAAAAGAATGAGGACCGAGAGTGAAAAGAGGAAAATGATTTTCGCTTACAATTAGTTTTTCTTTTATATTTTACCTATATCTAAATTTCCAGTAGATCTCCATAGGATCCATAGTGTTAGTTGTGTGAGAAAGATAAGCCGCGAAAAAAAAATAAAAGTTTTGATGAATGCCGTGTGAGAGAAAGAAAAAAGAAAAAAATAGAGAAGCCAAAATAAGCCGTGCGGGAACCGTGAATGAGCTTGTGGCATGATGAAGGGGGTTTTTAAATGAACGCAGAAATTTTTCGACGGTGGTGCTTATTATTTTAATAAGGGGAGATGGAACGCCGGATGTTCAGCGCCTTATAAGAAAGAGTTTGAGAAAAGGGAAAAGAGAGAGAATTGACGGAACGCTTGCTTAATAACGCCTTATAAGAAGAGGGTAGGGAAGTGAGGTGGAAGCACCGGAGGTAGCGCTAGTTAGTAGCCCACATACTTTATCTTATGGGGTAAGTAGGAACGCTTAATAGCGCTTTATGAGAAGAGAATAGGGGAGGAGGGGAGCTGTAAGGGGTAGCGAGGTTAATGTGTGCGTTATATCCTAAGGTGTGAAGGGACGCCGGATGTCCAGCGCTTTATGAGAAGGGATAGAGGGGGAGAGAAGAGAGGGGGGTAGATGGAACGCTTAGTAGCGGCTTATGCGAAGGGGGTAGAGGAGGAGAGATAGAAACACCAGAAGTAGTGCGAATTAGTAGCTTACATGGCTAATGAAGGAACGCCGGATATCCAGCGCCTTATGAAGAGAGATAGAGAGGGGAGTGCAGAAATGAAAAAGGCTTATCGTAATGTTAATACCCTTTTAATGCTTACTAGGACTTCTAAGTATTCGGATATCCGAGATCGATTTCAATTCGAATCTCAAAACCGGATTATTCGAATAATCCGGATATCCGAATTATTTGGATTCGGATCTGAGTTTGAATCCGGATCTGAGTTAGGATCCGGATCTAAATTCGAATAAAATACATCCGCAATGTATTTTATTTTATTATAATTTTAAAATAACAAATTTGTTTGTTGAAAAATGCATTTTATTTTATTTATTATATTTAAAGCTATATCTTTTTAGCTAAAAAACATTTTTTCACTCTCATATTTAGTTATTAAATTTACATAGATCCAAATTCGAATCCAAATTCGCTATAAACTTAAATTCGATTTCAAATCTAAATTTGTTGCGAATTCTAATTTAAATTCGAAATACGGGTTCAGATCCGATACTTTTATTATTTGGGTATCTTAAAAGATGCGGATATCCGGATAATCCGAATTTGAAGCGTCACATTTATTCGTAATCCGGATAAACGGATATCCGGATATCGTCAAATCCGAACGATTCTTGAAGCCCTAATGCTTACCGTGTCCAATACAGAAGTACACGAGGTCTGATCGTCGGCGCCGAAGCAGACAAGAATGATCGAAAATGCCGAAATCGACTCGCTTATATATATATGCGCAGTTTGATGGCTGAGGCGTAAAGAGAGACTATATTTCCCGGAAAACTGGAAAATATTACTTAATCTGAATTGTTATTTAGTCCCTCAGTGGCGGATTTAAGGGGGGCGGAGGGGACGATCGCCCCCCCCCCAGAGCTCTTCAAACAAATTTTGTATATTGGAAAAAGTCGGTTTTAAATGAATTGAGAAAAACAATTATCAGAGATTATCCGAGACAAAATAATATTTACTTAATTTATTACAAATGATTGATACGTTTTTGTTTATTCGAAAAAGTATTTCAATCAATTAATACCGTTAAAAATTAATATTTTATAATATTTCGTTCCATTTTTTTGTTAAAAATGCTTCGTAATATGAGGCAATCAAAATGGACAGAACAGAAACCGCTAGAAACTATATTCTATATTCGACGAGAGAAAATTATCGAGTCAAATAAAAATTCGTTCGTCTCACGCAGGCTTCGTTAATAGGAAGAGTGAAGAACCCCCTTCTACACTGCTCGCACAGGCTCAAGCAAGTTCGCGCAGGCGTAATGCTAATGCCAGCGTGCTACGTTCTCCACACTACGCGCAGACCGATAAATTTCTATCGCCGAATAGAGTATATGGTATATCTAATTAAGTCTAGTTATTAATTCCTTCCACGCTTCCGTACTTCTGCATTTCAATTATTTTGTGATCTGCTGTTTTCACATCAACGCAGTTTAATTACATTGTGATTACAAAGTTAAACAGAATGGTAAATACTGCAAGATAAAAAACGAAAGAATGTCTACTAGGACATTGAAATTGTCACAAAAGACGATTGCAATGAAACGAACTCGATCTCGGCAATCCGTCAGTTCTGGGACACTGTATAATATGTAGCTTGGTAGTGTTATTTATCATTTATTTGTGTTTGCATTTTTGGGATGGTGTGGTAAATCCTTTGCATGTCTTTTTGGTTTAGGAAAATAAGTCGACAAATAGAGGTAAAAAGTGTTCAACTACGAGAGCTATTGATTCATTCTTTTCCAAGAGTATCAAAATTGATAATACTTCTCTACGATGTGATCTTCTCAATAGTCTCAATGTTTCTGTTTCTAATGAACTTCCGGATGTTTCGCATAACCCTAGTACATCCATCTCATCTACATCGAAAGTAGACGCGGAAATTTCCAAACTTCCATCCTCTGATTTGATTATTTATAAAACGGACATTAAAGCTTATATTGGTAAAGGTTCAACGCTGGACGACTATACAAAACGTATGTTGCTAGAAATGTTATGGAAACCGCCTTCTAATGGCTATACATACTTTTCCTTATTCGAATCATAATAAACAAGAAAAAATAGAACGCAGAAACAATGTCATTTGAACGACAATCACTGGCTTGTTCTATCTGATCTTCATAAAGGATTGTATTGCAAATAATGTGTTCTATTTGCAAGCGAAACAGAAGGCTGTCAATCAAATACAGCTTTGAATACATTTGTGAAAGTTCCACTTAAGTCGTTTGGAAAATTAACTGGCAAAGACGGTGCTCTTACTTTGCATGCATCTAGGAAATCTCATAAAAATGCAGTACAGACTGGTGAAGATTTTTTGACTAATTATAATAACCCTACGTTAGATGTAACGAATCAGATCTGTACTTAGCGCATGGCACAGGTTTTGGAACATCGGAATAGATTGCGTCTCATCATTGAAACAATACTTTTTTGCGGACGCCAAAACATTCCATTACGTGGACACAGAAATGATGGAAAATTGACTATAAGAGAAAAACCGTTAATCAACGAAGGAAATTTTAGAGCTCTTCTCACATTCAGGGCTACGGCAGGAAATGAAACTTTAAAAAAACATTTGGAAAATACATTCTCAAGAGCTACATATATCAGCAAAACAACGCAAAATGAAATAATTGAATGCTGCAAAGAAGAAATCCAAAATCACATATTAGCGAGAGTAAAAAAAGTGAGGGCTTATTCTATACTATTTGATGAAACCACCGATGTAGCCCATATTGAACAAATAAGCTTGAGTTTACGTTATATTCATGAAGAAAATATTAGAGAAGATTTTTTAACTTTTGCCGATATTTATGATTCTATTCGTGAGGAGGATATAAAAAAAAATAAACGACGTTTTACTGGTGTTGCATTGGGTCACTGCATGGTTGATCTTCTAAAAAAATTCGAACTTTCTTTAAAAAACTGTGTCGGCATTGGTACAGATAATTGCTCTGTTATGGCATCGGACTTGAAAGGAGCAGTTCAGGAGATCATAAAAAGCTGCCCTAATGCGAAGAGGTGCACTTGTTTTAATCATTTCCTGAACAATTCTCTTGCTAAAACAGCAAAAGTAATTTCTACTAGAAACGCTATTGATACGATGAAAAGCGTTATTAGATTTAGTAATGCATCGTTTAAAAGAACGTCGGTATTTAAGAAGCACATAGGAGGATCTTTCTCTGGATTTTGTGAAACGCGATGGATTGAGAAACACGATAGTATTCTGCAATTTGAAGACTCTTAACAAAAAATTATTATTGCTCTTGAAGAAATATCTACATGGCAAGATTCTAAGACGTCGACTGAGGCATATTCCTTAATAAAGGCAATATGTGATGCAGAATTTATTATTGCAATGATTTGTTTCAGCGATGTTTTATCTGTAACACGCCCTCTCAGCTTATTTCTACAATCAAAATCGGTTAATTTAACAAATGCTTGTACTGTGTTAAAAGATACGCTAAATGTTCTAAGAACATTTCAGATAATCCTGATTCCCATTTTTCAAACCTATTTGTTAAAGCTACTCGTTTGGCAAACGAATTAGGGATTGACTTAAGAATGCCACGAATAGTAGCCAAGCAAATTATCCTGGCATTCGTTGTCTCATTGAGGTACTAACAACTCTTCCAGTTAGTGTCGCAACACCCGAACGAAGCTTTTCCACTCTTCGTCGCCTGAAGACGTGGCTGCGAACGCGTACGACAGAAGAAAGACTTACAGGCCTTGCTCTTTTGCATACACATTTTGATATCCATGAGGATATTGATAATATTATTATCAATTCGAACGCTTTTCGAAGATAAAGTTAAGAAAATTAGAATTTATTATACAACAAAATTTGTTTTCAGATTACACATTATATTATATTAATGCAAATATATAAATATATATCTGGTTAATAAAATGCTGAATACCAGATATGCAGATATACTTTACATTTTGTGATAATAATAGTAAATATAATATAAAACAATAAAAATAATAAAAAATATTAAAAATACATTAATCATAACAATAACTAAATATTTACATTTAGTCATAAACCGCCCCCCCCCCTCCCTAGAACAACTCTCTAGATCCGCCACTGTAGTTCCTTAATTACTGGTTAGAACGCAATATTTGACATGGCTTATTTTATGTACTTTCATATACTGCAAACGCTTAGTCGCAAATCAAAACGGTTTAGGAGTAATTAGAGCAGCGAGATTTTTAGTTTTTATACATGGTTTTCGTTATCTCTATTCATTTCGTGTCGCGCGTTTGTCGTGCTGCGCGCGCATACTCGCCTCACGCGCGAGTCACGTGGGTTCTACCCGCCTTGCTAACACTGTACTGCAATCTATCTTAGATAACAGCTTAGATTACCCCTTTGTAAAGTTTTATATTAGATTTTTATTAGGGATATCAGAATGGTGCGTACGAGACTCGTAGGAGATCTCGATGCACCTGATCATCATTTGATTCCTACATATAAAAAAAAAGAAAAAGAAAAAAAGAAAAGAAAAAGAAAAATGAAGGGAAACGAAAAAAAGCTAAAAAGATAACGAAATAAAAAGATTTTAATCGAACGCTCTCAGTCACCAGGCAATATACAAAAAAAAGAAGAAAAAGTTTTTGACCGTCCGTCACAAGGGTCACAACAGCCGACCGAAGAAGCGCGGTTTCGGATCCTGCGTCCTCCTCGATTTAGGGAGGCGAGCGTATCCGCGCGCATTGCGTTTTCGATCTTATTGCCGCGCGCTTTATTTAACTTTTTCTCTCCTCGTGAGCGTAACCGTAGGTATAGATCGGCGACATAAGGAAATTGTCTACACCAAGCAGCGAGAGGGAGAGAGACATCGGCCTCGGAACGTCTGGCTCATCGCGGAAGAAACGGAGCACGCAGGTCAGACATAGTTCCTATGAACGTTATCTCGATGTTCTCTGTTACAAGCTCTTTACTGTCGCCGATTACTTTCAGCAATCCGAGTGTAAATACGGAGGCAATAAACTCTCACGATCTAGCCAGGATCGGGTTGCCGACGGCGAATTGTACTGAAGCGAGACGCACGAGCAGGGTCGACACCAAAGCTCGATGAGGGACACGAGCCTAATTTGAAGTCCGCGCTACCGGTTGCGAGCCAGCTGATCACGTAAGACACCGCGATTCGCGGGCGTCGCGCTCGCAGGGCAAGGGCCAATCGGCGCACTATCAGCCGATCGCGTGACACCCTGCTGCCTGCGTGCTGCCGGGAGGACCGTCGAGCGACACTTGTGCTGTGGTCGTGCGTGGGACAGGACGCAGGATCCCGCTTAGTTGCCGAGTGCCGGAAAACATTTTAAGAGAACATCTTCCGTAGCTGCCGCTCTTGGTGAGACGAACGTTAGAGATTACAATTGTCAGCCGCCGATTTCATTGTCGGGCGGATCGCGCTATTGCAGTTTCGTTGCCCGCGTAATCGTATGTTCGTGTGTAGAGTCCATGTGCGCCGTCCGCCCGGCATAGAGTTACGCGAATCGAGTAGAGTATTTTGCGCTCGCTTTGCCACAGCCGGGTCACTTGTGCGTTAATTACATGTTATTTTGTGTTTCTTTCGCGTTATTGAGTGTCAGAATTATTGCGTGTTAGCGTGCCGAATGTCGGCAGTACTTCGAATTATCGCGACGCCACGTGGCGTGATCCGTCGTACGCCGTGCGAGGCGTACTCGCGTATAGCGACAGGATATTTTCGCGAATTCAAAGCAGAGAAAGAACAAAACTCGTACACCCGTCATCTCCGGGAGCGTTCCCGGACGCGCGAATCGCGACCTCGGCGATACCGCCGACGGCTGCCGCGGCGTTAGTCGCGGCCAAACGAATTGCCTGTGAATTCCAGCACACGCAAATATATTTGTTAATTCTTACTGAAATTTTGAGTATTCTATCTCGCCTTGCTCTTCCACATTTCTCCGCACCCTACGAACCACTCCTCTAGCGCGTTCGAGATTTTGATTCCGTGTAATAATTTGAAGGGTGGCACGCCCGCTTGTGCCTGGCGCCCAACTTCGCGTTTTTGGTTGCCGCGTAATTGCGAGTTAGTGAAATCGTTGCATTTAGCCGGATTAGTGACGGTTAACGACCGATCTTGTAGTCCGACTCGAAGAAAAGAGCGGTCACAATATATTTGCAACAAAATAATTGGTACAATAATATATACGCGTAATGCGGTGTTTACAACATACAAAAAAAATAATGTACAAGAATAAAAAGGAAAAAAAAGAAATAGAAATGTACCAAAAAAAATAATAAAAAAAATTGGAAAGAAAAGAAAAACGAGAACATGCGTCGGACGCGACAACACTTTTGTTATTTAAAAAAATTTTAATTTTTTGTAATTTACTTTTTATTACTCACAGAAACATTATAAAATACTATCAATATTTATATGTAAAACACACAAACACACACATATTTTCATGCAACACGTGTATAATGCACGAATTCCATATATAATTAATTATAATAATAATCACAATTCGTATAATATTTTTAAACATGTGTACGTATACGTGCGCATGAATTAATTTACGTTTGCATCATACACGCGAATGAGAATCTTAGCAGCTTAAGAACTAGAGTACTTTTGTAAACTATACTGTTAATGTTAACCTAAGAAATAGGACAATAATATTTTGGTAAAAGGTTGCAAAACAATAAGAAATTAGGAAATTTGTGAATGCGATATGTAATCTCAGGACCAAATTTAGTGTGCATCTCAAATTTCATATTACTAAACAATCTATCGCACAATATTAATTGATGCTTTAAAGCTAATGTCTTTGGTACATTTACTCTTAAACATGAAACATGCGCACTAATTTTGAATGGCTTATACTTTGCTTCATATCGCATACACGAAATATTAATTAAGGGTCCTACGGAACGTATTATGCGAGCATAATGCACTAATAATTAATGCTTATAGGCTTTAAATCTCCGAATAAATGTACGTATATTTCATGATGCTCTCTTATCAATTGTTTAATGCTTTTTATATCTTTAACAGTAATGAAACACATAGAAAGTTGTCTTCTATAAGTAATCTATAATTTATTAAAAATACAATTCTCTGCAATGCCAGTTTTTGATACGTCATTTGTTTGAACGTCATTTTCATATTCACTAACAAGTCGAATTAGTCAGTATTTTCAGATATTTGCTCATACATATATTTTTTGTATACAAGACTCTGCATGGATAATTACTGTTAAAACTTCGGCCGAAGCCAAGAATTTCATCCTCCTAAATTGTCTCCAATTATTATAATGCAGGACACAATAATTTCAACATTATTGTGATTATAAATTAGATTTTTCTCGGTGTGTTTTAATTCGTTAAGAAGTGGTAAAAAGGCAGCTCTGTTGCCAAACTCAATTCTATCGGTATCACAAAACAAAAGTGTTAAAAATGTGTTTTCAAGCATAGGCTGAAATTTTGGTGGAATGCACGGTAAAAAAAAATATACAGCCCATAATTTATGTGTACCAGCATGTGCACCTAAGAGATTGTTTACTTCAAATTCGTCAAAATATATTATAAGAAGTAGTACTATTTTTCCGGGAAATTAAAGACATATTTTTTATACAGTTCTCCTTGTATTATATTTGAAATGCATGAAGTCGGTTGCAACAAACTATTCATGTAATCTAACATCGTATTTAGAAAAGAAGGTATCTGAAATAACTTCTGTAAAATTAATCGTATAGAAATAAACTGACCCGTCATTTATTGGCGTCATAGTAAATACTTTGTTGACATACTTGCTTTCTACCCGTTGACCTATGATATATGGTAGGTTTTATATAACAGCCTTTGCGTTCAAAGTATTTTAATCTCTTATGCTCAGTCTCTAAATCACGAAATGCCGTTTTATGCGCAGAATATGTCTTCGATTTTCCGTTTACACAGTTTGTTTATTTCCATTGTATTTAGAATCGACATTATATTATTTTTTATTTCAAATAATACGGAATCTTTAATGAGATTATCTGTTAGTTCAACCAAAATTTGAACGTACTGCCGTGTCATTGAATTATTACCGTAAAGCTGCGAAATAAAGGACGTGCACGAACTTTGGATTCTACTTTGTACTTCTGACAATGAGATCGACAAATTAGGTGATTCATTGATATCAACTTGTAACTCATCATTGCCATCGGCATTTGCATTCAAATCAGGAATTTCGCTTTGATTCAATATTATTCTATTACTAAAGGGAATAA